TCTCAAAAAAAAAAAAAAAAAAAAAAGCTTGAAAAACACATTTTGAAAGAAAATAAATGAATATATAGGCTCAGGATGAGGAAAAACTTTCTAAGCATAAAAAGAGATGTAAGAAATCATAAAGGTAGAAGTGGAATATCTGACAGCAGAAAAAACAAAAGCTCCTAAACATAAAGAAACCCATCATAAACAATGTTTACGGATAGGAAGACTCAATACTGTCAATATGTCAGTTTTTCCCAGATAAGCCTGTAGATTCAATGAGATCTCAATCATAATGTCAGCAAGTTATTTCATGAATATAAAAAGGCTGATTCTAAAGTTTACATGGAGAGACATTAAGACTCTGAAGGGCCAACTCAATACTGAAGAAGACTCAAAGATTAATGCTATTGAACTTCAAGACCTACTTTAAAGCTATGGTAATGAAGACATTGTGGTATTAGCAAAAGAAAAGACAAATAGATCAATGGAACAGAACAGAGATCAGAAACAGACTCACATAAATATAGTCAACTGACAAAGGAGCAAAGGCAATAAAATGGAGCAAGATAGTCTTTTCAACAAATGATACTGGAACTGGACAGGTACATACAGAAAAATTAATCCATATCAGGCCTTATGCCTTTCACAAAAAGTAACTAAAAATGGATCATAGACCTAAATACCAATCACAAGACTATAAAATGCCAAGAAGAGTTATACAGGAGAAAATCTAGATGACTTTGGGTATGGTGAGAACTTTTTATATATAACATCAAAGTCATGACCCATGAAACATAACCGATAGTTGATTTTATTAAAATATAAAATGTCTACACCATGAAAGACAATGCCGAGAGAATGAGAGGACAAGCCACAGACTAGGAGAAAATATTTGCAAAACATACATCTGAAAAAGGACAAAGAATTCTTAAACTCAACAAGAAAACTAACAACTCAATTAAAAATGGGCAAAAGACCTGAACAGACACCTCACCGAAGAAGATATACAGTACAGCAAATAAGCATCTGAAAAGACATAGAACATCAAGTCATTAGGGAATTACAAATTAAAATGAGATATCCCTACACAACTGTTAAAATGGATTTGGGTTTTAAAATCCAAAACATTTGACAACACTACATGTTTGTAAGAATATGGAGCAACAGGAACTCTCATTGCTGGTGGTAATGTAAAATGGTACATTCACTTTGGAAGGCAGCTTGGTAGTTTCTTATAAAAATAAATATACTCTTACCATATGATCCAGCAATTGTGCTCCTTGGTATTTACCCAAATGAGATGAAAACTTACGCTACTAAAAATCCTGCACATGGATGTTTCCAGCAGCTTTATTTATAATCACCACAACTGCTTAAAGGAAATAAGCTAAAAACATGAAAATACATAGAAGAAACTTAAACACATATTACCAAGTGAAAGAAGCCAATGTGAAAAATCATGGTGACAGTAAAAGATCACTGGTTTAAAAAAAAAAAAAAAAAGGCCAGATGCAGTGACTCATGCCTGTAATCAGAACACCTTGAAGGGCCAAGGCAGGCAGATTGCTTGAGCTCAGGAGTTCAAGACTAGCCTGGGCAACAGAGCAAGACCACATTTCTATAAAAAATACAAAAATTGGCCGGGCATGGTGGTGTGTGCGTGTAGTCTCACCTACCTAGGAGGCTGAGATGGGAGGATCACTTGAGCCTGGGAGGTCGAGGATGCAGTGAGCAGTGATTGCACCGCTATACTCCAGCCTGGGTGACAGGGCAAGACCTTGTTTTTTTAAAAAAAAAAAAAAAAAATCAGTGGTTGTGGGGTTAGGAAAAGGGAGGGAAGAATAAGTAGGTGGAACGGAGGACTGTCAGGACAGTCATACTCTTCTTTCTGATACTACAATGGTAGACACATGTCTTTATACATTTGTCCAAATCCACAGAATGTACAACACCAAAGTTTGGGTGATAAATGAGGAGTCAATGTAGGTCCATCAATTGCAACAAAGGTACCACAGTGGTGTAGGATGTGGATAATGAGGAGGCTGTGCAGGTGTTGAAGACAGGGAGTATTTAGAAACTCTCTAAACTTTATTTCTTTTTTTTTTTTTAGATGGAGTCTTGCTCTGTCGCCCAGACTGGAGT